AGAACATCAAAAATTAATTAAATGAATAATTTTTTAATGGCGGTGAAACTTATATTGAAACATTCATTATTGATATTTATATTTATAACTAGGTAAGTTTATTGAGTTTACTAGTAGATATATTGAAGCCAAATTGAAATTTTTTCATGTATATTTCAATTACATATTTTTTATGAATATTTCAGTATGCAAAAAATTATCACAGGGGTCACAAAATATTATTGATTTTTCACAACTGTCAGGCTTTCCGTAACGCTCACAATTTTTTCCACTACTGAATTTCTCTTGATTTTTTCAAAATGAAAACAATCCAACTGAACTTAATTATCTAATATTTATGCACAGGGACAAATTCTGAGCAGATCAATTCGATTATTAACAAAATGCACAAAATACTTATCATTTTGATTCCTTTCACAACGATTTATATTTCATGTCTCGTATATTGCAATATAATATACAGGGTGTTCACTAAACATGCGGAAAAATTAAAGGGACTATTTCTTGGACTATTCTAAAGATACTTTTCCTTTGATGATTTTTGATAGGTCGAAGATACGGAGCGAAAAAAATTTCGACAATAACAATTTATTACCAAAAATTATATGCAATGTTTGTTAATTCACATGAACTGTTGAAAATAACTACCACCTGCTCGGATGCAAAAGTCCAATCTTCTCCCAATCGAATCCCAAGTAATCGGAATGCTGTTGATAGGTACCAACGGAATTGTTCAATTTTTTGTTACTTGGTAGATCCAGTGTAGTATGCTATCTTTTATTTTGGCTACGGTAATGATTTTGAAATCACCGATATTGTTTTTGTCGAAATTCATTTTCACCTCGTATCTTCGAAACAAAGTGCCCTATACAAAATCATCATAGGACAAAATATCCTCAGAATAGTCCGAAGAATAGTCCTTTGATTTTCGCCGCATGTTTAATAAACACCCTGTATATTATCAAATATATATGATGAATCCCAACCGCAAATTGATCCTATTTCAGATACATGTCGTCATTTCAATTAAACCAGCTAGTGAGTTCAAAAGGTATGTGAATCCGTCAATGTTATATTCAGAATTTCTATACTCTATTGGAAGGAATATATAATTCAGTCTTGTGGCCAATTTCGAATGACTCCCAGGGTTGCTCTCGAGAAGCAGTTAATCTTTTTGTTCCTTGATAGCAGAATTCCCCACATTCCAGTTTTACTGCTGTTTCTAATAATTCACTGAAGACAGGAGAGGAGCTCAAGGTACATTACGTTGATACTTGAACATCATAAATAACACCTCTTTTGCGGCGCAGCGTTGCGCAATTGTTGACTTGAACAAACCGCACATTGTTTTATGAATATCATAAAGCATCGAGCAAAACATTTGATGAAATTGTGCTTTTTTTTTAACAAGCCGTAATGTGACTGAAATAAAAACATATAGTTGAGAAACAGCGTCTTGTGTTTTTTGCAGTTCGACGTTTCATATTCGACTTTGAAGCCATTTTCAAGAAGCTATAACTACATTGAGGTCTTAATTTGCCTACTATTCAGGTAGACTCGTGTTTCGGGATTTTGGCCTATCAACAGTATGGTGTAGTCAAGTGTAAGGAAGGGCAACACTTGATGGGCCAGAAGCCCCAAACACGTGTCTATGGTTTGCCAATTTCCTGAGTGCTATGTCCGACTATTACCTCATGTATCTATATCAAGACACTCAATAACCTTCTTATTTGTATAATTTCTTGGACCCGGATGTCATGCAGGTAGCTATAGCTGCCTACGTGGTGATTTTGATAGTTTTCTTGTAAACACAAGATCTATTAACTGAAACCACAAATGTGCGGCTGGCTCCTGCTGGTGACTCCGTGCATTTGTATTTCTTTCTTTTGGTAACCAAGTGTTGCCCATGCTTACACTTGACTGCACCACACTGATGATGGGCCAAAAGTCCGAAACACGTGGAAGGTAGTCTTTTTTGCTGATTAGTTAGGAAATGAATGAAACAATATTTGGGTGTGCAGCAAGCCGAAACATTTCACTCTTATAACACAGATGACAAACTTTCGTTAATCCTTATTATCATCATCAGGGACGCAAAATGGATAAAAAGACAGATTAGATCTATGAAAGAAGATCATTCAAAAACTCAACTTACAGTGTATGTGAGGTTAGGCGACAAGATGATTAGAAAGTAGACACAACATATATAGGCGTAGAGACCAAAAAATAAGCTAATGAAAGTCGAGACAAACACAATTGATTTACTTCATTGATGATATATAATTTTTTGAAAAACTGAAAACCACCTGTTGTTTCTTGAGGAGGACCATGTGAAGATTTCAAATTTTGAGGTTGACATAATCAGTTTGCACATGAGTAGTACCAGCCAAACACAAAGTTAAAATTGACATTCGACATCAACAAATATATGTTTTGTGACCCGAACCGAGTAAATTTCACTTAAATCATTCAGATCTGTTTTTTATTTAAGGAAATATTAGAATGCTCTATATGTATCTTGGCAGTGTTTCTTTCAGTAGATAAGATTTTTATTGAATTATAGTCCATGCAATGTCCTTCCTTAGACACATGCTCACTTAATGCACACCTCTCCGGGTGCAACCTAGTGTCACTTTTGTGGGCTGTGATTCGATCCTTAAGCAATCTGGTTGTTTGTCCTATATATTCTTTATCACAGTTGCGACAAGGTATACAGTAAACTACATCTGAACAGTTTGTGCAGAGAGTTTCATCTTTAAATTTTGAAAAATTTTCGTCAAGTGGTAGAACATTTTTATTTAAATTGTATTATTATTAACGGACTTGAAAATTCTAGATGAACCTTTAATAAAAGGTAATGGAGCATCAAGAGTCGAAATCGAATTCAATTCAGTGGGAACTACAGTCTCTACTTCATTGAGATATGTGAAGATGTACAACTATATATATATATATATATATCATTCATTATTGATATTTATATTTATAACTAGGTTAAAATTTTTAAGTAGGTCTTGACAAACGAAATTATGTTTGTTTTGTATGGCGTGTGTTGCAAGGTTTGATTTATATACTGTTGGATTTATGTATGCCTTTTTGTGCTCATTGTACCTTTGGATCAGGTTTTTCTTGGTTTGGCCGATATAGAATTTGTTGCAATCAAATCTGCAACCTCCCTAAGGCAGGGCTTAACTTCATTTCAATAACACTTTTTCATGTATTTGACATTGGACTTTCTCATTGATAATCTTATAAAACAGCAGATGACTTTAATCACACTTGCACCATAATTGTTCTCTTTTGTTCTATAGTTTAACATAGACATACAAACAAACGATTTTTCAAAATGAATAACATGCCTTGGTCGAATATGAAATATTTGAGTATAATATCGCTTTGAATATATGTTAGATCACAGTCGAGTTTTGAGTTAAAACTTAATATATTCTATTGATCGTAAAGAATTTAAAGACAGTAGTTGGAAGTGAAAGTTGTTGAAACTGCAATAAATATGAATATTACATTAAAAAGTTATAATAAGTAATGACGTTTAAAACGGCAGAAGCCGATCATGATGATATTGTATTAATGTACGTGGATAGGAGTTTGAATGTTTTCCTTTCGCGTGATAAGTGATAATATTGGCGGAATACGGGGATGTGCGATATTGTTTCAAATAGAGTAAGAAACAGTAATATTCTGAATATTAAAATGTATACAAAAAATACTTTCAGGTTGACAAATATATTGATTATAATAATAATAAATTGGAATTGAATTTGAAAGAAAGGTAAAGACTGACCAAAATTTTTGAACCTGTGAAAATGACTACCTAAAAAAATGATATGTTTGACATGATCAAATTTTCAGAAATAATCGTGGAAATAAAAATTCCACGATTCCTTTTTTTGTGTATTCGAGCGTATTCTTATATTGGTACTACTTTCTTACCTGATTCAATAATGGTTCATCCATACATACTACTCTGAGTTATTTCCAATTTGTTTTATATTTTTGATTTCTTATTTGTAACTGTAACGTAAATTCACAAACTAGTAATGACATGTATATCGGTATACAGCAACAAGAAAACATTTTCCACACAAGGTAAAGGTGAGGTGATATATCAAAAGTATAAGATATATAGAAACCCTATAGTTTTCACCTGGTGTTTTGTCAAAAACTATTGACGCAAGGAATGCGATTGACCCTTCTTTGTACACATGTTGATGAACGGTGTAAGAATCGTAATCTGTCGCACGTATTTCACTCAGATCTGTAATTGTGCAAACTTGACATTGTTAACCTGCGTCATTTGAGCTGTACTCAGCACCTTTGTGAATGTAATCATACTTTTTCGTATTTGATTCTTCAGCATCAGTTCTGCACCTTCTGAATTATATTTTCCTCAAACAATAATTAGAAATTGATTGTATTTAAGTATCGCGATTTATTTTATTATTGTCAGTAACCAAGTTAAAGATGATTTACATAATTGCACAGAAAGAATTTCTGCATATACATTTGGCAATACATTTGTCGTAATCGATTTTCAATTATTGGAATGGGCACACTTTCAGACCGGTTTCGGGCTATTTGACCTCTTATCAGTGCAAGGTAGTGTCCTATATTAACACGAAGTCGATAATTTTTTCACTTAATACAGTCACACTTCAGAACTGTTTTTATTGACCCATTTTTCAAGAGACACTCATATTCCACTTCACACAATCATTTACTATTGTTTTTCGTTCATCGATTTCGACTCAACTTTGTCATATTGTTATTATTTGGTATCGATAACAGTAAATTTCTGATTTGAAATAAACTCTGAGCTATTTTTCCCCCGGTAACAACGAATTGATTATTGTCGCTGAATGTAGTATTGAAAATATCAATTTCGTCATCGTCACCACGTTTTCTGATATTACAGAATATTTGTACAGTTTCTGTGAAATGATATATTCCATGATTTTGCAGCTCACTGTATGTTTACTTACTTGTAAAGATCTCCTGCTGGATCCGCTGTTGGACCTGGATAGCATAGGCGGCCTCCTTTTTGTAGCTCCCCGTCCAGCAAGCAGGTTGTTCAGAAGCGAAGGACTTCTAGCGCAAATGAAGGCATGGAAGGAAGAGACTGTGAATACCCCCAGCTTGTTTAGTGTATTTTTCGTTGCTCGTGATACGTGTGTCAGAAGGGACTGAAAATGAAAAAACAAATATCAGTAAATCTTGCTAAAAAGATTTTTTTTCCATTTTCTAACATGATAATGATCATGAATATATTTCGCAAATCGAGTTTTGTACTTTCAGCAGCAGGTACTAAAAAGTAGAAGACATCGTTTGTTGGTAGATGATACATTCTAAATTTTGCTGATACAAGTCTCAACATGAAGTAATATAAACTAGAATGAGTTTTGGATCCTCCAAAAGACGTGAAACTCCACAATTTTGATCAAGACTATTTTGAAAAACTTAATGGATTGGGGAGCTGGCAAAAGTAATGGATTCATTGTGTCTTGAAAGAAATAGATTGGAAATATCAGATATTTTTACATTTAGTGACTTTCTGAATATCTTGATTCCACAAGTTTGGTTATGAAGAGCTCCTTCATGAGTTATGAGACCACACAGAATAAGTCCAGTCGATAACCTTTTTCCTGTATAATTTTGGCAAACAGTATCGATGTTCTTGGGAATTTCGATTTATCCTGTATACCGGGGATAGCTTTCACCGGGGATGCCATTCTTTCTCGAGGGTAAAAAATTTCATTGAAAATAAGTCTGAGATACATAAATTGATTACTTTTGGGTAACTTCTGTTGGATAAAGTTTTTCCTGAAAGTCATTATTTTTCGATTTATCCGCGAGTGAAAGTGTGAATTAGCGGACATATCTCTCAAAAATGTGGCAAAATCGCGGACACGTATTTCTGGCTATTGGCCTCATCAGCGCGGTGCAAGCCAAGTGGTGTCAAATGTGCCAAGTCTAAAACACTTCCCGTGAAAGTATCTAGAGGAGAGAGACAATTTCTCAACCTTTCTTCGATGTTCCAGACTATCAAGGTTGTAAGTGATGTTCGTGTCTCCATTCAGGCATATGACTCTTTTCTGAATGGAATCTAGCAGCTTCAGGGTATGCTTAGGAGTGGAGCTTCATACATGGGAACAATACTCCAAAGAAGATCTGATTTGAGCTATATAAAGTATCAAAAGTTGCTGAGCTTCAAACTACATATCACTAAAGTTTTGGGGTTCCAGTATTTCCTCTCGTTGATAGGAGATATTCCTTCTGGTAAAAAGAGATATTCCAGAATTGCATTCGAATCGTGAATGGAAATCATATTCGAGATATAGAAAATTGACGGGATTTGTTGAAGCACTGACTTCAGTTCCTTTGCGTGCAAGAATTGTTTGCAGATTTTGGTGCACTGAGTTTATATTTGAGTTGAGTCCTCTGAAATTGCAGAAATCGATTTTGAAGTTGCTAGTGGGCTTCTTAGCAACTGCAGTTACCATGCTATTTCCCTGTACACTGATGTTCGGAAGACCCTACTGACTGTCAGCAACATAGATTTTCTAATAACTTCTGCAGCCCCTACCCGGAGTTCCAATTGAGGAGCTGTTTCACCTCCGGAGTATTTTGATTCTAGGAGCGCCATCATGCAATTTTTCTTGCACTGCCACCCTAGAAACTGGAAACCGCGGTACAGCAACGAAATGTTAGACAAAACGTTCACGCTGCCTAAGCCGTTGCAATGGTATTTGACCGGGCGATACCGGGTGGGACCAGCATCTACCATCTGTCGCTTTTCACAAAATCACTGCTAAAGATGCCGTTTGGGGCAACTCTCGATAGGAACTGAATGGTATGGAGAGCAGGTAAAAAATAGTGATAACAGAACTCCAAATCTTAGAAATATCCTGAAAATTGCACTTCCGATGTAATAATATTATTGCTTGCCAAACAACTCAGTGTCGTGTCATCACAAATTCCTTGCTCGAAAAAATGTTGGAACATAATGAGTGTGAATCTCAGATGAAGTCCTAGAATCATCGATTGAGAAGATCAATAAAGTATTTAATGATTCCTGAAACTGTACTAGGTATTTTTTCTATATAAAGCAGTTACGAACCAAAATATTTTCATCAGAATTCATTTTCACTGAAGTATTAAAAACAAAATCGATTTCTAAAATCCAGAAAATTTCTTATAAAAACATTTGGACGAGTGAAAAAAGCGCTGAAATAATATTATGTCACTTGTACGGTTTATGTACCAGTATTATGAGTTTCTATATATTCTAGCATTCTAGGTTCATTCAATAATCTCGGTAAAATGGTAACACTAAATATTTTAATACAAATTAATTCAATTTCGATCACGTACGCCGCTGAGTTGCTTTCAAGCATCAATAATCCAACCACTCATTTTGTTTCAATATCACATCTTCATTCTCCCATTCACTTTTTACGAATCCCCGTATTGTAATATCCAGACAGACTATAACTCTTCGACGCAATTCTAACAAGAAAACTTATTCGAAAACTTTTAACGGTACATGTTGTGGAAAATTTATTATTGTAACTTTTCCCAGAGCCTGGAAGTCTGCTAATAGGTCGGATGTACTCGAGATAGGCGTGGCAGGATCCATTTCACTATATCGAGTGTATTATGCGATGAAGGACAAGCGATCGGTGGTACTGGTGTTCGGGTGCATCGAAGTAGAGCATAGTGGAGAGGAGGTGACCGATATATCAAAGGAGGGGCGTGATTTGAATTGTGGTTGATCGTAGAATAACGAATTTATGATTCGATGATGGAAATTGTCCAGAGGCTCTAGAATGTATTGCTCGCGTCTTTCACATCATTTGCGTCGTATTTGACTACTTACAGGAACACCTTTGTTGTGAAAGGTGTCTGTAATATTTGGCCGTAATGAGTTCAAGTTTCAAAAAAGTCATATCAAATGGAAGGAGCAGAGGATTGTGGTGATTTTTTTTTTTAAACTTCATTTCATGGGGAAAATTTTTTTTGTTATCAATGTTTAATATCCTCATTTCTTCCATTATCTCCTTCATTTATTCTGTTTCCTTCCCCAAGGTCTTTTTTCTTCAACTAATCTTCAACTTGTTCTGATATTTTGTCATTTGATGTTTTTGTCATCTAAATGCTCTTCCCATTTACGTCTAGTTAACATTGTTTTATGTGCTAATTTATTTCTTCATTTCTGAACCCCTCCATTTGATCATTTTTCAGAAAATTGAATATCTATGCAATGCATGATTTAAGATTTTGTTTTGAATCTATCGTTCATGATTATCTTTCATGTGTTATATTTGGAATTGAATTGTATAATTTTCAATTAATAATTTGGCGAGAGCGCTTTTATAAATTTTTTGGTGAAGGCCATAATATGAACAATGAAATTTTCAGAAAGCAAACACTAAGATTATAAATTGTATAAAATTCAGGAAATTTAAAACGCTGTCCTCAACAAACCATCAAATTGAACTTTCAAATATTTAGTTTGATGTTCTGAGAACATTGGGTATATTGCAATTTCTGAATCTATATCAATATTCTCCCAAAAATTTATTTTTGGAAGATTTTAAACAATGTTGATGAATTATTTCACATTATTGTGAAGTGTATAGATAGTTATGAATTTTTTAGACACGCATTTTAGCGTCGTTGATCTTCAGCATTTTTTTGAGTTGAAATACTGTTTTTTCTAATTTCTTGGAACTGAAGTTTTCATGATCATTCCTGCTAATTGAATGAAACAACTTTCATTTTGGTTCAACAACAGTCAAGTTGTTGTCTCGTGTTACCTCCGTTACCACCGGGTCTCTGCCTTTTCTAATACAGTTTGATCTTCCTCTTGAAGATGGTCACTTAGTGATCGAAACACGTGTCGGGATTTTGAAATAACAGTTAGGTATTGGGAAAAAACTCCAGTAGTATTCAATAAGTATGTTCAACAATTCCAAAACAGTAACCTCTGGTTATTTCCTTTGAGTTAAGTCTTATCGCTCAGGTTCATACTGAAAGACAATCTGTTGAATATTACAGGCACAATGGTATGAGTAGAAAAACATTTTTCATTTTCAACTACATTGGAAATCAATCAGATTTGCTCTACCTTATTTCTTCAAGTTCACTTTGCTACACATTTATATTTGTTCGTTTCGCGATATTTGAAATTGATTTAGGTTTCAATGCTTTTATTAAAGTTTATATTTCAAGTATTATTATTTGTATTGAATATTAGTTCATTACAGAAGTCGTTGACATAATATTTAGGTGATGGATGAAGTGTACGGAACAATGAAGTAGCTTATTCAATAACATAGTTCTGAAGCAGGAATATTTTAAATGATATAGTTCCTTGCAGAACTCTTTAGACGTCTACACATTGGTTTGATTGGTTTTCAAACAGTATAAATTGAATTTTCAAAGGGCCTAATTCTCGATTCGACATTTGAAACATAGGCTCTTGTTCTGATATTTTATTGAAAGACGGTTCAGTGAACGATAAAAATATGAATTGTCAAATTGTGAGAACGTTGTTATATATTTAGGCAAAACTAGTAAATATTTACTCGAGTATAATAGGCTGATTATCTACATTTCGACAATGGGAAATGACGTAATGCTCCAATGTTTCAATCATCTATTTCAACTCTTCAGTTTTCACAAGCTCACAAATAACATTATCAAACTCATTGAATAACCCCAAATAATCCAATCAATTGAACCCGAACATATGAGGTTCAGTGGCAATAAAACAGAATATAATCCACGATGAACATCCTGGCAAGATGACATATACTTCGTAAGGAAAGGACCCCGCAAAATCCTTATGGAATTTGAGTCTCGGTGGAGTTTTTTGAATTTTTGATATGATGTAATCCATATAATTTTCAACCATTGCGCCAACCCCAAAAAATTAATAGTATTGCCTCCAAGGTCGTTGAAATCACCCCTTTCTTAGAATGCACTATTTATTTTCGAAACCGGGAACGACATTTCCACCTGTTTCATGGTAGATAATGTTGCATTTGATTATGCTCTTTTATAAAAAAAATTCTTCACCACCCCCTATTATGAATCGCAAAAAAATTATATCTGCATTACTTTGAAATGGATCGTCGGATGTTTAAATATGCTTGAATTAGGGAAATACCACTCTTTCATA